AATTAAATTACTTGTGGTATCTCTATAAAAAAAAAAAAAGCAGTCGTGTTATACTCTGTGCTAGGTAGGTTGGTAGGTAAATACTTTACTGGAGAGAAAAAAATCGTCACGTTCAATTAGCATCCCCGATGGGGAGAGCTTTAGGTTATAATTGTGACTAGGTTATGTGCGCTATATTAAATGACTTTGTATTGCTCGCTCGCCACCAAGAACGTTGAAAAGAACTCCTGCAGTGTTGATGCGACCAAGGGAGAGAGACTCAAATACTGGCCCGACCAGTGATGAAGTCGTCTATCGACCAGTTTGTGGGCGACTCGGTCGCTGATGTTACACCCTGTGGTCACTGAGGGCGTGTGTGTCTGGATTCTCTTTTAAAACACACACACACACACACACACACACACACATATATATATATATATATATATATATATATATATATATATATATATATATATATATATATAATTAACAAGGGGTCAGTGTATTGATCGGCACTCATAAAAAGAAGTAGAATTTAAAACACATTACTATTGTGGAAAGCGTAAACTGAGGACATTATGTAACTTATCTCAGCAGTTTTATTATATATATATATATATATATATATATATATATATATATATATATAAAATAAACAGTGTATTGATCGACACTTATAGAAAGACTTTAGAAGGATAGGACACATTAGACAACATACACAAGGAAAGCTATGGTTACCATACCGGGAATCGAACCTGCTTCCAAATGGCGTGTGCGCCTTGCTGTAAAAATAAGTGTACTAAGAACATGATCAATTAGACACCCCTAAAAGTGTCTGCATTGGCCATGTCTATCGTACAGCCTGAAATATACAACTATGGAATACGGACAGAATTAATCCGAACCATTGAAATGACACCATAGGTAACATAAATGTATATGGACCAAGCGAAGGTCGAATAACAAACAATTATAAACGTAACGGACCGTAACACTGTGTCTAGAATATAACAGACATGTCAGAAAGAGATATGATTGGTAAGCTCCATTGTGTTACACACCATTCACATAAATAAACAGCGGGGAACCCTTGAGGCCAGAGAAATGTACAGTGTATCTTTATACAGTTGTATAACAGGGAAACACCGTGGAAGAATACGCGACCAATTAGTTCTAGAAAGTGTGTGTGGGGGAAAGGGGGGGGGGGGGGTGTTTCAAACACCCAGTTTGAGAACCGTTGGTTTAGAGAAACTTGATCCGCTAAATGGTTACATTTGATTTGCAAACGGGTGAATGTGGCTCAGTCTTTGTGTCTGTGCATTTCATATTAATTGTGATATTTTATATATATTTAAATTTATTTGTCAATCACCGCTTGCCGTATTATTATTACCACCACTTAAACCAGACCACAGTCCTCGTGAGGCCCTTCTCCCTTTAGAAAATGTTTAAGGGAAACGAGTCCAAAACTTCAAACTCCCAATTTTCAAACCCTTATACCTCAAACCCCAAAATGTCAACCCCAAAATGTCAACCCCAAACCTTCAAAACCCAAAAATTCAAACGCCGAAATGTCAAAACCCCCCCCCCCCCCCATGTGTTTTTGTTTCTGTGTCGGTGACCCAAACCAGACGAGAGTTAGTTTCATTAAACAAAACTGTTTATTTCTGACGATGCCGTCTTAAATGGATATAGGGAAGAGCTGTGGGAAGTAAAAGCGACCGGTCTGGTATGGAGTGCCAGGTAGATCTAACAGTGCGGCTAGCACCGCTTACTGAATACATAGAAAGGGACTTTCCCAGCATGCAGCTGTCGATTGGGTTAGTTTGGCGTTAGTCTCCCCAGACCCCGCCCATATACACACTAGCTCACTTCTGATCGGTAGTATCTGAGCCCAGTAACCTTCACACAAGGTTACGGGGGTGTTACGCTATGCCGTTGAAATCGCATGTTGTATATTTCAGCACACCAGTGCTTTTAACACCCCAAAAACTTGGAGAAACAGGGTCAAACACAACTTCCCCTAGAGAGTGCTGCAACTTCTTTTAGTTGACCCTATCTCAGGACTCCGAGATGTCGCGGGGAGTTGATGGGAATTCCAATATTGGGAGGGGGTTGGGAGGGGGGGTGGGGGGGTTAGGGAGTCAGTGTTTATTTCAAACCCTTATACTATTGGACTTCCCCGGGAACTCGCGACGGAATCTCGGCGTTCCTGAGATTGGGTGAATTAAAAGAAAAACCCATATTTTGGTTTTCAAGTTTGTCCCATCCAGACATGCGTTCTTTAGTAATAACATTTCAGGGATAAGAATCAGCTGATCTCGGAAACTCCGTTGAACCTAAAGCCGTATATCGTTGAATCTGTGGCCGTGTATCGTTGAATCTGTAGCCGTGTATCGCTGGACCTGTAGCCGTGTATCGCTGGATCTGTAGCCGTATATCGCTGGACCTGTAGCCGTGAATCGGATCTGTAGCCGTGTATCTTTGAATCTGTAGCCGTGTATCGTTGGACCTGTAGCTGTGTATCGCTGGACCTGTAGCCGTGTATCGCTGGATCTCTAGCCGTGTATCGTTGGACCTCTAGCCGTGTATCGTTGGACCTCTAGCTGTGTATCGTTGGACCTTTAGCCGTGTATCGCTGGACCTGTGTTGTTCGTCCATCACGAGTGACTGCAGACCACTTTTGATCCAAAGTAGTAATGATCAGTAATTATGAGCCATATTAGTCCAGTATGAGCCCGGGAAGTTCTTGAGCAGTGCGGACAACAGGTGGAAGCCACAGTAAATGTTGGATTAGCAATATCTCTGAACCCATAGCCTGTATACATATATATGGCAGTTATATTGGGGCACAAATGTTGACATCAGTGGTCCTGAAATCTCATGCTATCATTGTGGAAGACTCTGGGGTAAATTTAGGAACGTCGCTGTAGCTACAGAGTTATGTGCAAACGGCGACACAGGCGGACAATTCTTATCAGCTGTCCACGGTCAAAATGGACGTTAGGCAGCGGCACTGTTCGAAACAGAGGCAAATATTTTGCTTCTGCCGGACGGTGGCCGATGCATTTTTGTTCCATTTGTAGAATGGATAAAGTTTCGTCGCCCAGCTTCTGAGTTGAATGCATGGCGGGACCATGTGAGCTGCGGATTGCATTTGGAATGTTTTTTCGACTGTGACCAACCAACGTGTTGGTGTGTATGGTAGATTCAGAATGCGTGCAGTGTTGTGGTGCCCGTATGTGATTAAAATTTATCGCGTGGGCAACTGCTGATCTGTTGGCGACTTCTGCTACCATCAATGATGAACTGAAATTCTAATACTGTGATAAACATTCTGTGTGTTTTTCGTTGGCACAGGAGCGGGGCAAAGACGGGGCGACCCGTTTGCTATGAAGCTGAAACTAAGACTACCAGACTACCAGACTGGTGGCAGAGCATTTATGGCTTATAACCGTCTGCAATGACGCTGGCTCACATCTCCCCACTTTACCTTTTTTGTGGAAGACATTTTCTTGACACGGGCGGGTCTTGCTAGTCACACTCGCCATGGGCTGTGAGTCCCATGCCTCTTCATAGTGCAATATAACACTATCGTCTGAAAAGACGGAAATGTCCCAATGTATGTATATTGGGGCACCACAAAACGGTTACCGTGTAATCTCTCTAATCCAGTGCTGGTGGGTTGTTGTGACTGTCCCCAGTCTCTCGTTGAATACTGTGTGCGTGCGTCCGCTTGTATAGCATGTGCACGCTGGTGTCAACATCTGTTTAAACTAATGTTGAAGGGCGACCGGTTTTGGCACTAGTGCAGATTTGCCGCTAAGAATACTGATTCCTAAACTGCGTGCCGCGACGCGCCGGGGAGCCGCAACCTCTTCTCAGGGGCGCCGCGAAATATTCGAAGATACACGAGCTATATTTTTTTAATCTCTTGCACATAGAATAGTCATAATTTTATTTAGGTTAGGACGCCTTGAAAACATTTTTAATTAAAAAAAAAAAAAAACCAGGCGCCGCGACTTAAAAAAAAAAGTTTGGGAAACGCTGGCTAAGAACCCTCCCGCCCACCTGCTTCCCAGGTATGAACAACCGGGTTCACACGGAGCTGTTTAATGGCTGGCATATTGTCGTCTGCTTGACATTGAAACCACACACCCACATACCGGCGGACGAAAAACAAAGTGGTGCACACTTTGGTCGTTTACAGGTTATCTTTCTGTGCACACTTTGGTCTGCTGCATGTTATCCTTCTAATCTTGGTTTCATCTTCATAGCAAACGGGTAACCCCCCCCCCCCCCCCCCCCTAGTTGCCCCGCTCGTGCCAAGAAAAAAAACCATAATGTTCACCAGTGTCCCTTGTGGTAAAATTGAAACAGACTGCTGTCTCAGCACATCCATTAGCATATACACGCATTAAAAGCATAAGGTTGCCATCAGAAGTGCTAACACCAACAGTCGGACATTGGAAACAAAAGTTTGCCATCGACAGAGGCAGCAGTTAAAACACATCAGCCATAGCACACGCGGCCAGCTTTAATCACATAAGGCACTACCAACTCTGCGGCCACAGGCCACTCATCGTTTTCTGAATCGAAAGTTCACAATACCACGTTTGGTCAGTCAGAAACCATTCCAAATGAAATCTGCAGCTCACAGTGTCACGCCAAACAGCTCAGTATCTAATTACAAATTATATAGACACCTTTATCAATGACAACTATGTATTTTTTCGTCTGTCTCCAAAAAGGCAATCCTCCACCATTTCATGTTCTCTTGTGCTTTTCTGCCTCCCTCACCCACATAGAATCTTTTATTCATCCTTATTTGCTTCTCTCTCTCTCTCTCTCTCTCTCTCTCTCTCTCACACTTTCACTCCCTCTCAAAGTAAAGGTCATATGTTTTGTCTCTTGTCCTCCCACTTTTTCGTCCTGCCATACATAGAATCTGTTCTTCCTCCTCTGTTTTAGCCAGTCAACCAGACACTTCACTAACATGTTTAAATTGTTCCTGTCAGGTCGCACCCTGCGAGGCAAGGCCTTCTACAATGTCCATGGCAAGGTCTATTGTGAGGAGGATTATCTGGTATGTTGTCATGTGGAGAGAGACACACCAGGGGATGGTTGGGTTGGGCTACTGTTGTGTGGTATCAGAGGTAGTGTGGTCACATGTTGATTGGGAGAGACAGACATGGGTGGATGATTAAATGGGCTACTGTTGTGTGGTATCAGAGGTTGTGTGGTCATGTGTTGTGTGGTATCAGGGATTGTCTTTGGGAGAGACAGACATGGGTGGATGGTTGGGTGGGCTACTGTTGTGTGGTGTCAGGAGCTGTCAGTGGGAGAGTGAGTCAGGTGTTGGGCTGGTGGGCTACAGTTGTGTGCTGGTCTGGGAGTCTGCAGGTATCTGGTGATTTACTGAAGTAGGGTCTACTGAATGCATTTGATGTCATTTTAGGGACAGGTCAAGCCCCTAACATGAATTTCATTATATCTGCTGGAAACAATGCTATCTATAGGTAGGTACTGGTTAAAGATAGAAAATACATTTTTAGGCGTTGAAATCAACAAAGGAGAGGAATATATTATGAGAATAAACACTACGAAGACAGAGACAGTGCTGATATGAAGACAGGGACAATTTATAAATAACATTTTAAAAAAACGACTTTAGACAAATGGAGCAATTCATGTATTTGGAAGCAGTTTTCACATCTGACGGAAAACTAGATAGAAAAATTAGCTCGAGATGTGCAAAAGCTAATGAAGTAATGGGGCAACTATCTTCCCTGTTGACACACAAGCAGATACCCCAACGTAGTAAAGTGAATCTAAGAACTTTTTTTGGCTAACAGTGGACACACATCCTCTAATGAAGGTAAAATTGTGACGACAGAGATGAAATGACATTGAAGAACTGCAGGAGTTTTTAAAAAAAAAGACAATAAGAAATCAATGCTAGGAATAAAGTCTTACAGGTCATCAAAGAACACCAAATAAAGTGGTTTATATCAGCATGATCCATGGGTTGACCTTCAGCGGTGTTAGCTGATCCAGCCAACTTATCAGCCCTTTCGTTTCCATCAATGACCTTGGTGTGTGTCTGCCCTTATACCTTCAACCTCATGGATTCTAGTGCAAAGACAATATTTTCCTCACTTGTAGATTTAGTGTCCCTTGGTGAAAGACATCTGCAGATTCCTTGTGGCTTTCTCCCCATCACATCATAAATCTTCTATTAGAAGAGCCTTCCATGTCTTGGTTAACTTGATATGATTTGTTAGTGTGTTGAAATTTTTCATGGTTGTTTGTGTGGCTATAGTGTGTTAGAGCTTGAAGTAGAGCCCTCCTACCCTTACTGAGCTCTGTTGCTCTGCCTTGTGTGTGTGTGTGCCTCTATCTGTGTTTAGCCTGTAGATTCCAGTGCCAGACATGTTTTCACTCAATGATTTGATCTGTGCCCCTGTTCAGCAGCAGCTTTCTCACATTTTTCTCTCATTGGGAACATTAAGGGGGCTGCGTGGTCTCAAGGCATAGTGTCCGCCTTGAGTGCTAGTGTTCCGGGTTCAATCCCCGGTAAGGGCTGGGATTTTTTTACATGGACTTGGACTTCTAGTAATTTCCCCTGGTCTCTGTGTAGTGAGATCGGACGCCCATGTGCCTTGCACACATAATAAAATCCCTTGGTAATTCGAAATCGAAAAAAGTAGCCTAACGGCGCTGCCCAGAACAAAATGTTGAGTTAAAAATCTACTCAGTTATTTCCGGATCCTCGCTGGTGCTACCGAGCCTGTACTGAGCTTCTTCAGAATCAGACTTCAGTTAGAAGAAGAATGGACCACTTAGAGTTACTACCCATGTGTCATAAGGTTGATCCATTGTTCAGACCTCAAACTTCTCATTGGAATTTTTTTCTTTAAGAACTGCAGTGGTGATTCTCTTAAACTGCCACCAGTTAATGATTTCACTTTATTAGTAATTTCTGTTGTTGTTTTGTTTAAATCTTTTGTGCGGCCTTAAATCTTCAGGCTGACTCTCGTGTAACCAGATGGTAAATACAAAGAGTGACAACCTTTGTTAGCAGTTAAGTTGTTGGTTTTGTCTGCCATGATAGGCTGGTACCACTGATAGTTAACGGGAGCTCACTTTTGTACCGCTTGTATTGTTAATGACTATTGTTTTGAAAATATTGCCGTATCTTTTTTTTGTTATCACCGTCTATGGAGTTAATGCAACTTATACTGCTATGGTGTCCTTTTGATGGTACTGTCTTCCACATTACAGGTCTATTCACAATTGATTCTACTGGTTAGATTGTTAACAGTATTAGGATGAGGCACTTGAGTATCAGGGAATGATATCATACATTGTTGAACAACCACATTCGAAGAATACCTGCCACTGTTAAAAAACACATCATCATCAAGTGCCTTGCCAGCTGGCAGAGGCGTTCATGTGTCGCTACGGATCTCGGTGTTTGGTGTTCTGGATGAATGTCACATGATATTTCTCCATGCTACTGCCTTAAGCCATCTACCATGATTTCTCTTGGTCTGCCTCTGCCTCTTCTACCAATGATCTGTCCAGTCGTCACGTTATATCTTTCAGTGCTCCTTTTCTCATCACTTGACCAAAGAACTTTGTCTCCTTCTCATTGATGTATACAATGTTCTACTTTTTATTAGCCTTTTCCAGGCAATCATTGTTAGTTATTCTGGCAGTCCAAGATATTCACAGCATTATTCTCAAGAACAGTTGTAAACAAACACATGATCAACTACAAATACTCTTTTCTTCAATAGTTGACACCGTTGTAGCTAAGGTCAGCTACTGATACCCCAGTATATAGCAGTGATATTCTAAACTAATTCTTTTGTGGAGCTTGAAATATGTCATATTACACAGATATCATTAGGGCGCACAAATTATTGATTTCATAGTCTACAGTCATAGTTGATTTCATAGTCTACAGTCATAGTTGATTTCATAGTCTACAGTCATAGTTGATTTCATAGTCTACAGTCATGCACCATATACTTGCCTTATATAGTGAAATAATGCAGTTCTTTATAAGCTTTTATTATGTTTGCTGTTTTATGTTGTCCACAGTATTCAGGCTTCCAGCAGACAGCAGAGAAGTGTGTGGTCTGTGGGCACCTCATCATGGAGATGGTCAGTGCTTGAGTAGTGTGACATTCTCAAATAGCTGGCTGTTTTTTTTTTTTTTTTTTGCATTGGTTTGGGGCTTAGAGAAAACAGGGGTCAGTTTCTGGAGTGGGCAGTTACAAGTACTGTTGTTTGGCTTTCAGACAAGGAAGTCACACTGTGTGAGAGACTGAGCTCCCACAGTCAAATCCCAGAACAGACTGGGTATGCCATTTTTTTTTTTTTTTTAAAAGACATTCTTGTTTCACATAGAGCAGTGTCTGCCAAAAAAATTGACTTGCAGAGCTTATTTATATTTTTTCTTGTGGTGGACCCAATTGAGCCTGCCTTACCCTATGTCTTAGAAGTGAAGTGTTTACCCTGTGTGGGTTCTGGGGCCCCATTGTTAAGAAACTAAGAATAGATCCACTGCCCTGTTAATAAAATAGGCATGTCGTGACTAATTAAGGTTTTCTTTCAGAGTCGGAGACCATCTGCCTGAGTTGATTGCACCACTTAATGTACTCAGATAGGACAGTCAGAGGATTCTGGAAGCATCGTGTCCACACCACTGCTAATAATTGGGGAAATGGGAATACAGAGCAGCACAGCCAAGGCATGAGAGGCACACCAAATGTACAAGAGGTCTTGTCAGCTAGCAAAGTTGTGACATTCCCAAGGGACACTTGTCGTGAAGGATGTACATACTGCATTGATGCTCATCCCAGGGGAGACTGATGTGTACGATGTACATACTGCATTGATGCTCATCCCAGGGGAGACTGTTGTGTACGATGTACATACTGCATTGATGCTCATCCCAGGGAAGACTGTTGTGTACTATATACATACTGCATTAATGCTCATCCCAGGGGAGACTGTTGTGTACTATATACATACTGCATTAATGCTCATCCGAGGGGAGACTGATGTGTACTATATACATACTGCATTGATGCTCATCCGAGGGGAGACTGATGTGTACTATATACATACTGCATTAATGCTCATCCCAGGGGAGACTGATGTGTACTATATACATAATGCATTGATGCTCATCCCAGGGGAGACTGATGTGTATGATGTACTTACTGCACTGATGCTCATCCCAGGGGAGACTGTTGTGTATGATGTACTTACTGCATTGATGCTCATCCCAGGGAAGACTGTTGTGTATGATGTACATACTGCATTGATGCTCATCCCAGGGGAGACTGTTGTGTATGATGTACATACTGCATTGATGCTCATCCCAGGGGAGACTGATGTGTACTATATACATACAGCATTGATGCTCATCCCAGGGGACACTTGTCGTGTATGATGTACATACTGCATTGATGCTTATCCCAGGGGACACTGATGTGTATGATGTACATACTGCATTGATGCTTATCCCAGTGGACACTGATGTGTATGATGTACATACTGCATTGATGCTCATCCCAGGGGAGACTGTTGTGTATGATGTACTTACTGCATTGATGCTCATCCCAGGGGAGACTGTTGTGTATGATGTACTTACTGCATTGATGCTCATCCCAGGGGAGACTGATGTGTACTTTATACATACTGCATTGATGCTCATCCCAGGGGAGACTGTTGTGTATGATGTACTTACTGCATTGATGCTCATCCCGGGGGAGACTGTTGTGTACGATGTACATACTGCATTGATGCTCATCCCAGGGGAGACTGTTGTGTACTATATACATACTGCATTAATGCTCATCCCAGGGGAGACTGTTGTGTACTATATACATACTGCATTGATGCTCATCCCAGGGGAGACTGATGTGTATGATGTACTTACTGCATTGATGCTCATCCCAGGGAACACTGATGTGTATGATGTACATACTGCATTGATGCTCATCCCAGGGAACACTGATGTGTATGATGTACATACTGCATTGATGCTCATCCCAGGGGAGACTGTTGTGTATGATGTACATACTGTATTGATGCTCATCCCAGGGGACACTGATGTGTTTGATGTACATACTGCATTGATGCTCATCCCAGGGGACACTGATGTGTATGATGTACATACTGCATTGATGCTCATCCCAGGGGAGACTGTTGTGTATGATGTACATACTGCATTGATGCTCATCCCAGGGGAGACTGTTGTGTATGATGTACATACTGCATTGATGCTCATCCCAGGGGAGACTGATGTGTATGATGTAAATACTGCACTGATGCTCATCCCAGTCTCCCTGCCATGGCTGCACTCTGTATTTATGGACACAACTTGCTGTCTGCTTACACAGCCATCAGCTTGTCTAGGGTTCAGCATTCTAGGTTTTATCCTGCTTCTTCACTTGTCCACACACTGAACAGGAATAGATACTACTCAGCATAACACAGGCTGACGTTCTTCATAAGTTCTGTATTGTAGTTCCTAATCATGTCTCCATCTATCTCTTTATACATGCTTTTCTAGCGATTAAACTGTCTGACAACTCACTCTTGCTGTCTTCAACAGCTTCAAATACAACTGTCTTCCTCTAACTCTAGTTTGCAACTGATGAAGATCTTAACCTCTTGTTCAGAACTGATTACGATCTAACCCCTGTTTCACAACTGACCAAGATCTAACCTCTGTTTCACAACTGACCATGATCTAACCTGTGGTTCACGACTGACCAAGATCTAACCTCTGTTTCACAACTGATTATGATCTAACCTGTGTTTCACAACTGACCAAGATCTAACCTGTGTTTTACAACTGACCATGATCTAACCTCTGTTTCACAACTGACCATGATCTAACCTGTGTTTCACAACTGACCAAGATCTAACCTGTGGTTCACGACTGACCATGATCTAACCTCTGTTTCACAACTGACCATGATCTAACCTGTGTTTCACAACTGACCAAGATCTAACCTCTGTTTCACAACTGACCAAGATATAACCTGTGGTTCACAACTGACCAAGATCTAACCTCTGTTTCACAACTGACCAAGATCTAACCTGTGTTTCACAACTGACCAAGATCTAACCTCTGTTTCACAACTGACCAAGATCTAACCTCTGTTTCACAACTGACAAGATCTAACCTGTGGTTCACAAATGACCAAGATCTAACCTGTGGTTCACAAATGACCAAGATCTTACCTGTGGTTCACAACTGACCAAGATCTAACCTGTGTTTCACAACTGACCAAGATCTAACCTCTGTTTCACAACTGACAAGATCTAACCTGTGGTTCACAAATGACCAAGATCTAACCTGTGGTTCACAAATGACCAAGATCTAACCTGTGGTTCACAAATGACCAAGATCTAACCTGTGGTTCACAACTGACCAAGATCTGACCTCTGGTTCACAGCTGACCAAGATCAAACCTCTGGTTCACAACTGACCAAGATCTAACCTCTGTTTCACAAATGACCAAGATCTAACCTGTGTTTCACCACTGACAAGATCTAACCTCTGGCTCACAACTGACCAAGATCTAACCTGTGGTTCACAAATGACCAGAATCTAACCTGTGTTTTACAACTGACCAAGATCTAACCTCTGTTTCACAACTGACCATGATCTAACCTGTGTTTCACAACTGACCATGATCTAACCTGTGTTTCACAACTGACCATGATCTAACCTGTGTTTCACAACTGACCAAGATCTAACCTCTGGTTCACAACTGACCAAGATCTAACCTCTGGTTCACAACTGACCAAAATCTAACCTGTGTTTCACAACTGGCCAAGATTTAACCTGTGTTTAACAACTGGCCAAGATTTAACCTGTGTTTCACAACTGACCAAAATCTAACCTGTGTTTCACAACTGACCATGATCTAACCTGAGTTTCACAACTGACCATGATCTAACATCTGTTTCACAACTGACCATGATCTAACCTGTGTTTCACAACTGACCATGATCTAACATCTGTTTCACAACTGACCATGATCTAACATCTGTTTCACAACTGACCATGATCTAACCTGTGTTTCACAACTGACCATGATCTAACCTGTGTTTCACAACTGACCATGATCTAACCTGTGTTTCACAACTGACCATGATCTAACCTGTGTTTCACAACTGACCATGATCTAACATCTGTTTCACAACTGACCATGATCTAACCTGTGTTTCACAACTGACCATGATCTAACCTGTGTTTCACAACTGACCATGATCTAACCTGTGTTTCACAACTGACCATGATCTAACCTGTGTTTCACAACTGACCATGATCTAACCTGTGTTTCACAACTGACCATGATCTAACATCTGTTTCACAACTGACCATGATCTAACATCTGTTTCACAACTGACCATGATCTAACATCTGTTTCACAACTGACCATGATCTAACATCGTTTCACAACTAACCAAGTTTACAGCTAGAAAACACTAAGAAGAAGTATTTAGAAGTAATCTTACAGAGGATAGGATGAGAGAGTAGATGGTAAGGGAATTTAAAGATTTGTCTAACCCAGTGATTCCTAAACTGTGCGCCGCGGCATGCGTTGAGCCGCAACCTTTCCACAGGGGCGCTGTGAAATATTTGAAGATACCCAAGTTAAATTTTGTGTGTGTGTGGGTATCTCTTACATAAAAATAGTCATACTTTTACTTAGGTTAGGGTGCCGTAGAAAAATTGTAATTGAAAAAAGGCGCCGCGACTAAGACAAGTTTGGGAAACACTGGTCTAAACAATTGAGCAAAGACCTTCAGTGAACAATGTAATCTGTCATGTGATCAAAACTCTGGACAGATCCTGCAAGCCATGGGCAAGTCCTACCACCCTGGATGTTTCAGATGCTGCGTCTGCAACGAGTGCCTGGATGGTGTCCCCTTCACCATTGATGTGGACAACAAGATCTACTGTGTGGCAGATTACCACAGGTTCTTGTGAAATCTGTAGTCCTTCAGTTTGTGACGTATCTGACTGATTGTTTATGAGCGGTGACTTAGTTGTTGACTGATTGGAGTGGTGGGCACAGGGGCTAGGAAGGCTGGGCTGTCATGTGGGAGAACCAGTTCACATATACATAGCTGTGCCGCTGTAAATCCTCAGGCTCAAAGACCCACCACCACCTCCTCCCACAAAAAATCTCTACGCCACAAAAGTGGTAAGCACAGGCTGTAGTAGTGGTTTTGGCATTTGACTTATCCAGTAGTTGGTGACGTATCACATAGTTGTTGACTGATATTGCAGTTGGTAATATATCACATAGACTGATATTGTACTTGGTGACATATCACATAGTTGTTGACTGATATTGTAGTTGGTAATATATCACATAGTTGTTGACTGATATTGTAGTTGGTGACATATCACTTAGTTGACTGATATTGCAGTTGGTAATATATCACATAGTTGTTGACTGATATTGAAGTTGGTGACATCACATAGTTGTTGACTGATATTGCAGTTGGTGACATATCACATAGTTGTTGACATATCACATAGTTGTTGACTGACAATGTAGTTGGGGACATATCACATAGGTGTTGACTGATATTGTAGTTGGTGACATATCACATAGTTGTTGACTGATATTGCAGTTGGTAATATATCACATAGTTGACTGAAATTGCAGTTGGTAGGTAATATATCACATAGTTGTTGACTGATATTGTAGTTAGGGACATATCACATAGTTGTTGACTGATATTGTAGTTGGGGACATATCACATAGTTGATGACTGGTATTGTAGTTGGTGACATATCACATATTTGTTGACTGATATTGTAGTTGACGTATCACATAGTTATTGACTGATATTTTAGTTGGTGACATATTAAACATATCACATATTTGTTGAGTGATATTGTAGTTGACGTATCACATAGTTGTTGATTGATATTTTAGTTGGTGACATATCACATAGTTGTTGACTGATATTGTAGTTGACGTATCACATAGTTATTGACTGATATTTTAGTTAGTGACATATCACATAGTTGTTGAGTGATATTGTAGTTGGTGACATATCACATAGTTGTTGACTGATATTGTAGTTGGTGACATATCACATAGTTGTTGACTGATATTGTAGTTGTTGACATATCACATAGTTGATGACTAGTATTGTAGTATCACATAGAAGAACTAATGTTCCAATCTCAGTGGCTGTCTCTTTCATGAGATATATGTTCTGTTGTTGACCTACCTGTCTGCAGGGACCATTTCTGCAACATAGTCAAGCTCTCTGTAGTACTGAACATTGCATCACTTATATGGAACGGTTTGTTTAGCCAAACTTGAAATAGCTGAAACTGAAGTTTTATCTCCCCTTCTACAAGAACTGCTCAGTGACTCGTCTCATCTGAATCTCAGCAGTTAACTCAGCGTTAACTCAAACTCGTTAAAGAACAACATTCAGACAACAGTTTTGGTGTCGGAAGGGTGCATTGCTGGTAGAATACATCAGTATTTTATGTGATCAGTATTCAAAGTTGCAGTGAGTCTGCCTGAGGTGAGGAACCAACAGTCTGCATACAAATAAGGTAGATCTCTAAAATGGATGGGCACACAACACTCAAGCTCCGGACTGAGACTATAAAGTCCAGAAGTGAATCAAAATTCTGTAGTTTATAGCCTGTGAATGTTAAGAAGAAGAAGGTGACTGTTAATAATCTTAAAGAAACTTGTGATGGAGCCATAGATAAAAAATGTGACTCTGCTTATTGATATAGTCTAGTAAAGATGAAAAAAAAGAGATTTACTGGACTAGTTGCAATAGATAAATTATGTTATGGTGATTAGCCTTCATCAGCAGAATGATAAGAAGCAGCAGAAAAAAGGGAACTGACTCTGGAATGATTACAGTATTCAGAAACTATCATGGCTAGTTAATAAATTAGTGAAAACTTTATTGGAAGCTGTGGAGATATGGTTTTTATAGATTACGAACGCCACAATGTGTGGACTTTAAGAAGAAGAAGATGATTGAGGTACTATGTAAACAAATTAAAGAAAATAATGGTAAATGATACAATTGATAATGACCTAGACATCTCTAAATTGTGTGAGCTATTTCAATTGTTTCAATGAGATCAGTAATGTGATAATGATACCTTCTTCAGAGTGTATGCTCCCAAGTGTGCTGCATGCGGGCAGGCAATCACCCCTGTTGATGTGAGTATGACACCAGAGCAAGGCCTGCTCATCACTATCATTCTGTTAATCACTGTTATTATGACCATGCTCATTTTCACGCCAGGCTCATTGTTATCAGACCACACTCATTGTTATTGCACCACACTTTGTTATTACACGATGCTCATTGTTATCACACCACGCTCATTGCTATCACACTACACTCATTATCACAATCAGCATTATCAACATTCTTACAATTTGTACTGTCTGAGTTACCAGTTACGAGTTTGGTTAGAGTTACGAGTTTGGTTAGAGTTACGAGTTTGGTTATCACCAAGGCACTTTGGATTCATCCATGGATGGTCAGATCCCCCCCCCCCCCCCCCCCCCTTTCCTTTTATATACATCGGAATGCTACTGTTAATAGTGCCAGTCCTTTGATGAGTTGACAAGACTACTGTTACGCCCGGTGTGCCTCTCCTGCCTGGATATGCTTATCTTCACTTGTATTCTTAGCAATTATGCGGACATGCTGCTCCAAAAATTCTCCAACTTTCCTGTCTAGGGACATTAACAGTGTCAGCGCAAACCATAGGCCAGGACATCTGTAGTTGAGGCAGAGCTGGCCACTTGTTGTTCGTCCATCACAAGTGATGATTACTTGGTGACTGGATTAGGTTTTGTGAGTGCGCAGATGGCTGAAAAGGGCAATTCTAGCAATTCTGAAAGTTCTTGAGCAATGTGGACAGGGAATAGAAGCCGCATCTTTCTGGTGATTTACTTCAGTGTCTGTCCTGGCTTGTCTTTTATACAATACTTTTATCCGCCTTTTATACAGCTCTTTCTTTGGAGTAGCATTTGTGTACCTGCTAGCCTCAGCTGTCGGCACTTAGGTCCCTCTGTCTGTTACTGATGGTTACATTAATTGCACAATAATTAATTGCTTTTAGGTGTACAAGTGTTAACTGGAGGCAAAGATGATATATCTTTCACAACGATACAATCTTGCTTTGGTGATCATACCACTTGCCTCGCTTTGGAAAAATCGCCTCCTCCACAGTATAGGTGTTCAAAGTCTAGCATACCTTCATGTAAACAATTTTATTTTCATCTTATTTGTTTGTTTATTTTATTTTATTTCATATTATTTCATTCTGTCTCTTATCAGTACCAATTATGGATAACTAATATTTGTATTTCTACTACTATTTTATTCCTACTATTATTTTATATGATCACTTTAACCATTACTTATATTTTACGAGACTTCTTTTATAATTTATTTTATTCTTTCCACTTATGTAACCCCTGTGTTGCACTCTCCCCCTTGTTATTGTTATGTAATTCATTTCATGTTGAGAAATGTCCCCGGCCAAAACGCTGATTTGCGCTTTGTGCAGTTTTCTGCTTCCCCATTTCCTGAAGTTCTTTAGTCACAGTTCTCTGGGCTTAGCTCGACTGCAGTCACCCATATTTTTACCGTTAACTAGATAGTGCTTGCCATCACCAGATGAAACCTTTGATAGATGTCCTGTAATAGTCAAAGTAAGTAAAGGACCCTTTTCCAAGCCCTTCAGGTGTAATGGTTATATAGGGCTAGACTTATATTTTATAGACTGGCGGCACAAGATGGGCGATGCGGTCAGCATCATGCCGGCCGCCTTTACTTCCCAGTATTGCACCTGGTACTCACTCAAAGCTGGGAGCTAAGGTCATTTTTGGGAAAATCTGAACCCACGACCTTTTGATCTGCAGGCGAGCGTCTAGCCACTGCACCACGGTGACTGCCTGTCCTATAATAGATGTAGCGGTTGTCATTATCTGCTGCCTTCTATCAGTAGTATGTGAGGTGATTCCCTGTCATGTGTGTGCCTATCTGTTGTATGTGAGGTGATTCCCTGTCATGTGTGTGCCTATCTGTTGTATGTGAGGTGATTCCCTGTGATGTGTGTGCCTATCTGTTGTATGTGAGGTGATTCCCTGTCATGTGTGTGCCTATCTGTTGTATGTGAGGTGATTCCCTGTTATGTGTGTGCCTATCTGTTGTATGTGAGGTGATTCCCTGTCATGTGTGTGTCTATCTGTTGTCACCAGGGCACTGAAGAGACTGTCAGAGTCGTGTCCATGGACAAGGACTTTCATGTGGACTGCTACCATTGTGAGGTAGGTGCTTCTTTCATTTACATGGGGTAATGTTGGTTTTCATAGGGTAATGTTGTTCTACACAGTAATGTTGTTAATTATAGTAGTGTTGGTAGTCAAGTCATAGATTAATGTTGGTTGTCAAAAAATTGATGGTAATCACTGTCTTTCTAGACAATAATGTTGACTGTTAATTTACACATAAAAATGTTACTTTGCAAAGTGTGTGTTTAGAGTAATGGTGAAGAGATATAACAAGCACCATGTGGAAATGATTCTGGTTATGCAGATGAGTCATAAAATAAGTATTGAACTATCACCTTACAAGGCTTAGTTGTTATCTCTAGCTGGGTCTTGTACATGGTTGACTGTTTGCAGTTTATAAGCAGATTATTCAGGATTGTACAGATAATTCAAGATTGTGTATATTATTTATGAGTGCATATTATTTATGATTGTATAAGTTGGGTTACTCCTAAAAGTTGGTGGGCTGGTAAGTTGGGTCACTGTGTTTGTGATAGTGAATGTTGGATGCTATCCCCTATACAGCAGAATATATCCCTTATCCAGCAGATGTTATCCCTTATCCAGCAGATGTTATCCCTTATCCAGCAGATGTTATCCCTTATCCAGCAGATGCTATCCCTTATCCAGCAGATGTTATCCCTTATCCAGCAGATGTTATCCCTTATCCAGCAGATGCTATCCCTTATCCAGCAGATGTTATCCCTTATCCAGCAGATTTCAGGGCTTATCTAGCTGACTATCCCTTATCCAGTAGATTTTTTTGAACAGACTGTATCCGTTATCCAGCAGACAGATTTTCTTGCAAGTTATGTGCAGTATTAAAAAGCCTGTGTATTGACCTTATCACCCATCAAGAACAGATTTGTCCATAAAACTGTGAGCCTAGCCCCATATTCCCGATACACCACTGCTGTGTAAAGAGCAGTTGTACAGAATAGCCTGTGATAGTCTGTTTCCATAAAAACAAATGTGAGAGATAAATGTGTAATAAATGTAACTGAAATGGTTCAACTCTCAACAACAGACAGAAACAAGTCGTTAAACAAGTAAGATAACGCAAGAACTCCTTGCTCTCCTCTGTTTCAGCATGTAATTTTTTTTCTTTTCTGTTCAGTAATGTCAACAGTGCATCCTCAGCCATCAGTGCTTGAACTGAGAGTTGCCACTGGCATTAAGCCTGCTTGTGCATTTTGATTTATTTTCTGGCTTTCTGACTTTGCATACTTCCTTGTTCATGGTGCTGGGATTTATCAGTTTGCATTTAATTTCAATTTTAAGTTGAAGGTGATGCACTCCGTGCCTTGTCTGAATTGCTTATAGTTTGGAGTCTTGTTAAACTGATGTTACTGTCATCTGTGGTTTTAGATTTGTTTAGCTATGATAACTGTCATGTGTGGTTTTAGATTTGTTTAGCTGATGTTAACTGTCATGTGTGGTTTTAGATTTGTTTAGCTATGTTAACTGTCGTGTGTGGTTTTAGATTTGTTTAGCTGATAGTAACTGTCATGTGTGGTTTTAGATTTGTTTAGCTGATGTTAACTTTCATGTGTGGTTTTATTTCTGTTTAGCTGATGTTAACTACCGTGTGTGGTTTTAGATTTGTTTAGCTGATGTTAACTGTCATGTGTGGTTTTAGATTTGTTTAGCTGATGTTAACTGTCATGTATGGTTTTAGATTTGTTAAGCTGATGTTAACTGTCATGTGTGGTTTTAGATTTGTTTAGCTGATGTTAACTGTCATGTGTGGTTTTAGATTTGTTTAGCTGATGTTTACTGTCATGTGTGGTTTTAGATTTGTTTAGCTGATGTTAACTTTCATGTGTGGTTTTAGATTTGTTTAGCTGATGTTAACTGTCATGTGTTTTTAGATTTGTTTAGCTAATGTTAACTGTCATGTATGGTTTTAGATTTGTTTAGCTGATGTTTACTGTCATGTGTGGTTTTAGATTTGTTTAGCTAATGTTAAGTGTCATGTATGGTTTTAGATTTGTTTAGCTGATGTTAACTGTCATGTGTGGTTTTAGATTTGTTTAGCTGATGTTTACTGTCATGTGTGGTTTTAGATTTGTTTAGCTATGTTAACTGTCATGTGTGGTTTTAGATTTGTTTAGCTATGTTAACTGTCATGTGTGGTTTTAGATTTGTTTAGCTATGTTAACTGTCATGTGTGGTTTTAGATTTGTTTAGCTGATGTTAACTTTCATGTGTGGTTTTATTTCTGTTTAGCTGATGTTAACTACCGTGTGTGGTTTTAGATTTGTTTAGCTGATGTTAACTGTCATGTGTGGTTTTAGATTTGTTTAGCTGATGTTAACTGTCATGTATGGTTTTAGATTTGTTAAGCTGATGTTAACTGTCATGTGTGGTTTTAGATTTGTTTAGCTGATAACTGTCATGTGTGGTTTTAGATTTGTTTAGCTGATGTTTACTGTCATGTGTGGTTTTAGATTTGTTTAGCTGATGTTAACTGTCATGTGTGGTTTTAGATTTGTTTAGCTGATGTTAACTGTCATGTATGGTTTTAGATTTGTTTACCTAATGTTAACTGTCATGTATATTTTTAGATTTGTTTAGCTGATGTTAACTGTCATGTGTGGTTTTAGATTTGTTTAGCTGATGTTTACTGTCATGTGTGGTTTTAGATTTGTTTAGCTATGTTAACTGTCATGTGTGGTTTTAGATTTGTTTAGCTATGTTAACTGTCATGTGTGGTTGTAGATTTGTTTAGCTATGTTAACTGTCATGTGTGGTTTTAGATTTGTTTAGCTGATGTTTACTGTCATGTGTTTTAGATTTGTTTAGCTGATGTTTATGTCATGAGTGGTTTCAGATTTGTTTAGCTGATGTTAACTGTCATGTGTGGTTTTAGATTTGTTTAGCTGATGTTTACTGTCATGAGTGGTTTTAGATTTGTTTAGCTGATGTTAACTGTCATGTGTGGTTTTAGATTTGTTTGGCTAATGTTAACTGTCATGTGTGGTTTTAGATTTGTTTAGCTGATCTTAACTGTCATGTGTGGTTTTAGATTTGTTTAGCTAAGTTAACTGTCATGTGTGGTTTTAGATTTTTTTGGCTAATGTTAACTGTCATGTGTGGTTTTAGATTTGTTTAGCTGTTGTTAACTGTCGTGTGGTTTCAGGTGCTGAGTTTATTAATATTTGTTTGAGATGTGTATGAAAATATTTTGTGTGTGGCTGAGCATCTTGTGTGATAACATCATTGTGATAACTTATTGGGGAGTTTTTTTCAAGGTGTTAAATGAATGATAACATTTTAGGGTTTGTAATTCGGATAGTATGTGGAAAGGGAGACAACGTTTTTATTTTATTCAGGTAATCTTAAAACTGACATTACTACTCTTTATAGTGAAGTGGGTGGAAACTCGTCGATCAGCCTGACCGTTGGGGAGTCAAATCCGCATTGAGGTGGAATTTTTTTTTCAAAACTGAGTGCTCAACCTAACCTTCATTGGGTACCGAGAATGCCCTGGGAAGTAATGGCTGTTGGTGGGATGTTGATCACGTGCTGATTGAAATATCAAATTATAGCCTAGAATAATATGCCCAAAGCAACCGGACCTGTTATACAAACAAACAAAACTGGTTCTTCTTGCCATTTATAAATATTGCATATATGGTGACGTTTTTTTTTTTTTTTAGTATAGCTCCTATTAGCTGGAGACGGTTGTTGTTTAGATTCTTGTGTTAGTAGATTAGTTTTTCTAACATAAGAGGGCATTTTGACCTGTAGTAATGTTGAGTGAGATAATAATGGAGATGCCTGTTCTGTGGCTAGCCTGACTTGGTGCCGCTGTTGCCTCATGACTTGTACTAACATCTTGTGGTCATGGCAGACATGTAACCCCCCTCCCCCAACAGAAGTGTATCAGTCAGCTTCTCATGCTGAAGGGGAACAGAAATAATGAATAGGATAGCCTTTATAGAAATGTGATGTGTAGAAGGTGTGAAATCCATGGCCTGGGTTGGGGGGGGGGGGGGGGGGGGTAAATCCACTGCCTCCCTAACAAGAATGTTGTACAAGGGGTGGAAATGAGTATTTGGCAGAAAGGCAAGTTTTGCTGTATACTGTAACGTAGAAGGTGAACAGACCAGAAGATTCACCAGGGAGTCTCAGAAAAGGTGGCACTGTGGTGTAGTTTTTGAATAGTAATGGAATTGTCAAGAAATGTGTGTTTAAAATGTCAGATTTGCTGAAACAGATACGGTAGTAGAGCAGATATTATCAGAGTTACGAATGTGTGTACAAAAGTAGTAGTAGTAGTATGCAAACTTCAGATGTTAATAGTTAATCGGGGCTTGGATCCCCATCTTCAGTATATCCTCCAGCGTGTGGTGACTGATAGCACTAGTTCTGTGTTGGTCTACTATCTTCTTTGGCTATCTGTAAAGCTGTTAATATTTGGCAACACCACTTTTGACCTGGAGTTCTTGCAGTCTTATGCGTGTTGCTGATTCAGAGTGGTCTGTTGAATTATTTTCTAGCCCTGCCTCCTTGAGAGCACTGAGAATGTTGACCCGGTCAATTGCTTTTTCTGTACCTATCGTGGCCCTGCCAGCGAGCCAGTCAGCTCGTTCGTTCCTTCTGACCCCCAGATGTTGATTATTATGTCTGGGGATACTGCTAGTAATGAGTCTGCTCATTTGGCTGAAATCAGAGTTTGCCTTCAAGAAGGTCGAGTGCACTAATGGTTATTACATAATGATTACGAAACACATGATGGGAATAAAGCTCATCATCTGAGAATTGTCAACAGTGTCATGTGCAGCAGGCTGTTGTGCTCTAGTGTCACGTGCAGCAGACTGTTGTGCACTAGTGTCATGTGCAGCAGACTGTTGTGCACTAGTGTCATGTGCAGCAGACTGTTGTGCTCTAGTGTCATGTGCAGCAGACTGTTGTGCTCTAGTGTCATGTGCAGCAGACTGTTGTGCTCTAGTGTCATGTGCAGCAGACTGTTGTGCACTAGTGTCATGTGCAGCAGACTGTTGTGCTCTAGTGTCACGTGCAGCAGACTGTTGTGCACTAGTGTCATGTGCAGCAGACTGTTGTGCACTAGTGTCATGTGCAGCAGACTGTTGTGCTCTAGTGTCATGTGCAGCAGACTGTTGTGCTCTAGTGTCATGTGCAGCAGACTGTTGTGCACTAGTGTCATGTGCAGCAGACTGTTGTGCTCTAGTGTCATGTGCAGCAGACTGTTGTGCTCTAGTGTCATGTGCAGCAGACTGTTGTGCTCTAGTGTCATGTGCAGCAGACTGTTGTGCTCTAGTGTCATGTGCAGCAGACTGTTGTGCACTAGTGTCATGTGCAGCAGACTGTTGTGCTCTAGTGTCATGTGCAGCAGACAACCATCAGACTGTTGTGCACTAGTGTCATGTGCAGCAGACTGTTGTGCACTAGTGTCATGTGCAGCAGACTGTTGTGCACTAGTGTCATGTGCAGCAGACAACCATCAGACTGTTGTGCTCTAGTGTCATGTGCAGCAGACAACCATCAGACTGTTGTGCACTAGTGTCATGTGCAGCAGACAACAAGCAGACTGTTGTGCACTAATGTCATGTGCAGCAGACTGTTGTGCACTAATGTCATGTGCAGCAGACAACCATCAGACTGTTGTGAGCTCAGAAAGATCAGCTGGGTGGCTGAATCAGGTCAACTTCACAACCTGTCCTCCTGAAAACTGACCTGATGGTGACATTGTTGAAGATGGAGTAGCAGAAAGCTGTTTACTGGTGGCAAGGTTGAATGCAAGAGGTGGAAAGCGATACATGCGGGGGAGGACATCAAGAGATGGGTCTGAGAGAGTGTACAACCAGGACAAGAGACGGGGCGTGTTGAAGATTACAACTGTCACTGTTGAAATGTCACCTGATTGAGCAGAAAGTCGGAACCACATAATGGATGACTCGGTCAAGTGATGAGAGGGGAAAGGTAAATGGAGGCATGGTTAGGGTTAGAGAGATCCCTAGGGATTGTTGCTGCGTTGTGAGAAGTCCCCACTGGTTGAGAAGCCACGATGATAAAAAAAAAAAACCTGAAGCAGTGGAATATGTAGCCTAACTGTTATTATCCAGTGTCAGTTATTTAAAAGTGGTGGTTTCTGTAGTATACACCCATGAGGTGTGTAGCATGATAATCTATTTCTAACATGTCTTAACTTTGGTACTGATTGATGTTCCTGCTGTTGAACTGTGCTGTCTGTGTTCACTAAACCACTAGTGGCTGAGAATGATATGTTCACAAGTATTTGGAGTAGGTTGTATATTGGCTAACTGTAATTGTAACTCTGTTTGTCCCAAAGGTGTAATTGTTGAGCCTTGAGACTAAGATACAAAAACATGATCTTGAATTATATAATCACTACATAGGATATATAATTGTTTTGAGAGGCAAGAAGTGCACACAGAATAGGTTTACAATTAGTTAAGATATGTAAATTGTGTGTAATCTTTAAAAATGTTTGGTTGTTATATTCTAGCAATAAATCTCTGGGAATAATACTAGCATTTATTCTCGTTTTTATAGTTCTCTAGCAGTGATATATTTCTAGAATTGTTTCTGATGATAGTGGTACAATTCTAAAATTTGCTGATGATAATGGAATAGTGTTTTATTTAATGAATACACAATTTGTTGCTGTTCTAGTTTATATAAAATCTTATCATGAAAGATAGTTTTAGATCCATGCAGATCTGTTTTAGACTAATTAAAAAACTATTGTTTTCAGGATTGTGGCCTGCAGCTGACAGATGAGATAGACAAGCGCTGCTACCCACTGGAAGGACACCTGTTTTGTCATAGCTGCCACATTGCCCACCTGAGTGTGCAGTTCCCCAACGAGACATTCTATGTCGACCCTCAAACGTTCAACATCCACAACCGCGGATATATTAAGTCAGACGGTGATCCTCGAGGAGAGACCCCCTCTATGATGCCTCGCTACTCGGCCATGCCGATGCATGCAGGACTGAGTACAACTTCTCCTTGTGTGCACGCGGGAAACTTTAGTAGTGAGTACGGATCAGAAGCAACCGATGCAGAGGATGATCACTTCTATAGTGGTCATTATGGAGGCGGTTCAGGTTCCCAGCATGAGATGGGGTGGTATGAAAGCAACATCCCAGATTACGCCAGGGGTCGGAACAGCATCGGCAGCAGTCACAGCAGCGGGGGCAGCCAAAGCAGCTTTCCTGGCAGCCCAACTGGGCATGTTGGTGGACACAACAGCAGCGACCCCAGGCTGGGGTGGAGACGAGAAGGGTCCAGTCGAGACTGTGTGCCGCCTTCTTACAGAAGCATTGTGGGCAGTAACTACGGCAGCCCCACGCATCGGTCTAATGGTGGTGACTGCAGTAACTTGTTGCAGCACAGCAACCTCAACAGTCCTGAGCACAGCAGTTCATCAGGGATATACAGCAATGTTAGCAGCTACAACTCCATGGGCGCCCAGGGGAGGGCATACACAGGTGGGCCACATTCAGACCTGACTTTGCATCCAGCTGCAGTACTACAGTTAACGCCAGGTCATCAAACATCATCCAAGAAGTCTAATACGTATCACATAACTGACTTGTAGATGTGGGACAACAATCACATAACTGACTTGTAGATGTGGGACCGGAAGGCTGTTTGAGATTCATATGATGTGGCTGGACAGCCAGCCAGTGTCAATTTAGGACCTAGTTGCTTTTGAGCGGAAGGGATCATTGTTCAACACCTGTTTCTTTTATGTCGGATTCACGAAAGGAAAGAGGCATATCCAATTTCTCTCTTAGTGTTGAATCCGGGAAGTGTGTTTTATAGGACAGTTCTTCTTTATTGTAAAAATGACCACACTCATATTTTGTTGTAAAATGCTGCAGCCACACTATAAGTAACAACACAAACAATCAGAGCTAGAAGTACCACATCATACGAAGTACCACCACACTAACTAGAAGTAACCACGCATATATCACACCAGAGCTAGAAGTACCATCACATATCAGTGCTAGAAGTAAAACACTAATATCCACACATCATGATAATCAACTACAGTTCATTAGCGAACACAGAGAAACTTGGGTGCTGTCAGATGTGTAAATAATCACTGGAAGGTAATAAACAAATGTGTGCAGACATGAGATAAGAATGGCATCTTACACTACTATGTAGTGGTTAATATGGTGGGGGGGGGGGGGGCAATCAGTATAAGCTGTTTCTTGTCTTGACCCCCGCCCTCCTCCAGTGTCTGCCACCTTTTCCACTGAGTGTGCACATCAATGCAAATTCATACACAATTACGATGCTGCTCACAACCAAATAAGGGTGTCATTCCCACTCAGATTGGGAGGGTTGCAAGGCAACGATGTAATTGTTTTTTTTTTTGGTCTTGCTGATATTCCCAAAGTTAACATAGGCCCATTGTAGCTTCGTTCTGTATTCACCGGGACCGTCCGGTATTTTAGGGACGTGTCCATGTCTGCATTCCCCAATTGTCCCGTTTAAAATTTGCAGAACATTGGTCTTTATGAAGGAAATTCTCAGACCAGCTTTCCCCCCCCCCCCCCCCCCCCCCCCCCCCCCCCTTTCCGTGTACTTTCATATTCAAGGAGTCACTTTGCTAGTCTCCCCCTCCCCCAATCTGCCATGGCATATGATCTTCTGAGCCTGTCCTTACAGGTCCACCAGGTGGCAGATGATGGAAAGGAGGCGAGTCTCTCCCCCCCCCCCCCTCCCCATCCCTTCATAGAAAGCGGTGAGGGCACAGGGAAAGAACCGTTGCATTGTCCCTAGAAAATCATGCCTCAAAACAAACAAATTCAGATTCCGGTGGAATCACCTCGTCCAGTAGGGAGCATCATACCCGTCCGTTATTTGTGTAGAACTTGGTAAAGAATGTCAGAACACTACAAATTAGTGAAATACTCTAGTAAGGGTGGCAATATCCGTACTATTAAAAACAATGGCAGACCCCAACAGCAGATATAAGTTCAGAAGAAATTTTATTTTGCCTGGGAGAAAAGAATGTAAGAGGCGACAGATCAGATAATTAATGATCATGTTTCAGTTAAGAATACTTGCAATGTGGCTCTGCTAGTCATGCTATACGGACTGTCCATGTGCTCACGTGGGTAAATATGCATGGCTAATCCCTGATGACATTGCCAAATATCTCACAGGGGGAATTCATGCTACATCTTATACCTGTACACAATCAAAACTTGCAGTCAGTAGAAATTCATTTGCTTTTGAACAATACACATGGACGTTCTGCATTCTTCTCCGCTGTTCTCGCATTCGACCGCACACATCCAGGTCCAAACTTCAACTGACTTTCTACCCTCTCTGGGTTCACACCTTCCGTTCAAGTCTCACGCTTTCCTCGTATCCCTATTCACTCATGCCGGGATACTTGAGACCTGCTTGTCTCGCTTTCCTCTTATTTTACTGGTCCTCTACCCCCTTCCCAATTGGGAACTCTGTGGGATTTCCCCAGGAATTCGCAACATGTCACTGTTCAAAACCAGTATAATGCAATGGAAAATTAATACAGACTGTTGATGAACAGTGGGATATGTTGTGTAAGTCAGCAGACATCAAAAGACAATCCCACCAACCAGAGTTGCAAAAAAAAAAGAAATGAATGTCCACAGAACAAGTGGCTAAAGAAACCTAGCTGAATCGAGTGTGTACAGAGGTGAGGAAGACTCATAATAATTATATGAACAGCACTGGATGTTTAAAATTAAAAGAGGGTATGATGATAACAGACCAACAATGATGACCCACCAGTAATGCACGCGGGCCAGACAGCACCTCACAAATTAGGGATGTACCGAATAGTGGCTAGCATTATCTTCACAATGTGTGACACCAGTTGTTTGCCCATTATCTCTCGATCTTTCTGCCTCGTGGTCTACGCCCATTCGTCTCTCAGGTGTATACAGTTTTTACTTCCCTGTCATCTGACATTGTGTGGTTATGTTGTTGCTTCTCACTCACCATTCCCCGCTGTTAGATTTGTTGTAAGGATGTTTTTGAAAACCTGTAATGAGGCCTCATGTTAAGTTTCAGGGCCATATAAAACGACTGGTCTTATCGTTTTATATATTTTGATCTTGGTGTTGCGAGACAGACACAGTCGAAGGGCATAGTATACTTTATTTCTAGATTGTATTTCTTCTCTCTGCATGTACTTATTCGTTTCTTTCCATGTCTAGTTAGTATTCATACAGAATAGTAAACATTTTATGTTTTGCATCCTTCAGTCTGTACTAAAACTTGGAAATTTATTCCATGATGTTAGTATTAAGGCCGTGTATGCAGAAGTGGGTGTAAAGTAACTACTATTCGTATTCGGCCCGACCGCAACTATTTGGCCGAATAGTCAATAGGTCCACTATTTGGCCCCGAAGCGAATATTCGGTACAGCCCTAATTACAATGACCTTTTAAACAAGCACATAAAGACTGGCGGATTAGTAGTTTTGATTTTGGAAACGAGGGTGTTACGACAAGGGTGTGTACTGTCATCTGAATTTTATTGTCACTATACAGTGAATTATATAATGATCTAATTGAATTGCCCTGAATGTATGGTTGGTGGGCACAATAATCTGTGTTATGCTGATGACAGTCTTGGTAGCAACAAGTCAGAAAATACAGGAATACTGTGGTGGTACAAAGTGAAGAAACGAAATGTTAGATACATCATCAAATGCATTGTTCCACAGGCAACAATATGAGGAAGGGTTAGGGAAAAAAAAAAGAATTCTTGCTTGTTACACTGAGTCCTGAACAATCCGGTAGGCAGGTCAAAAACAGTTTCTTGACGACTCAGAGATGTGGTTTTACAGAAGAATGCTTAAAATACGTTGTACAGCCAAAAAGAGCAACTAAAAGGTTTTGAAAAGAGGCGGGAGCTCTAAGACACCTTGACGACCGACCGTCTCCTTCCACAGACTAGACGGTCGGTCGTCATTTAATTTTTCGGCAATGTTATGATGTGACCACTGGAAAGATTTGTGGAAGGAGAGAGACGATTCTTGAAAGGCTTGTTGCTGGCATGGAGTGTGTGGCACACGAACCGATACATGCTGCAGGAGATTGTGGAGAGGCATGATCGCCCACACCAGTCGGCAAAGCACTTGATGATTCTCTAGCATTTAAGACTTCAAGTAAGACAGCAATCAGTTATGGCCAAAAAAAAAACCAAAAAAAGGGGGGGGGGGTTTGTTCCGCGCTCAAGCGATTATGGTAACTGTAGGCATTTTTAGATTCCTCTCTCCCCCCCCCCCCCCCCCCCCCCCCCCCCCCCCCCCCCCCCCCCCCCTTTTCTATCCCTAGCATCATACGCTACTGCACTGGCTTGAGAAATCACATAAATCGATTGTTTCTACATTTCTCAGTCCATTCAACCGAAAGATAAAATTAATTCACTGCAAGCACTGACAGCCGTCCGCTAAAACGCTGCTTCATAAAATTCTTTTCAAGCTTTCAAATACGCAAATAGTCATGGGTCAACAAATGAGGTTGATGAAAACTGCCACTGAATCATGTAATCTCGGCTTCACTGTCTATACCAACTTCCGCGGCGCTGTGGTCAATCTCACTGTTAGCTTGCGAACCGTCGAGGATGTCGCTGGCTCCCTCCCGGTCTCTGCTGGCCACTTCATTGGCTACCAGAATCAGGCCAAGGAAGCCGATGACGTTGAAGACCAGTGCAATGTATAATGACGTCATCAGATTTTGTGCAAAGATGGAGGACAAAAAGCTGCCAATGAGGCCAATACCCTGGCAAATTCTGAACGCTGTCATCGCGGTGTCTTTCTCTTCTCGGGCGTATCTGGTCACAACAGCTGAAAGTATATAGCACATAAATAGTATATAACTGTATTGTGTGTAAATGTATATAAAATATCCAATATAAAGACTTCGGTTATGTAAAGTAAACGTAATTTTTTCCCCCACTTTAGGCGGGCTAGTCTGAATATTTTATAGACCAATCGGCACTCTGTGGGCGATATGGTCAGCATCACGCCTGCCGCCTTTACTTCTCGGGCGTGGAGAAGGGGGGTGGGGGAGAGTATAACTGACAATACATTGTGAGAAGCGCACAAACGAACCTGAAATCTTTCTCCAACACCTCGAGGAGGTTTTACCCAGATAAAGCAGTGTGATGTTCGTTCACAATAAATGGTAGTAACTGCCCGTGTTGGGTTCTAGGTCCCCATTGTGGTGAGAACAAGACCCATGCCCCCCCCACATCAACAAAAAAACATGTCGCGAAAGTCGACTAATTGGGAGTTTCGATGTCTAAGCATAATCTGCCCGAGAGGCAAGGAACCAATATTCTGGATGCAAATTAGTAGTTTCTGGAACAGAAGTAGCCGAGCAACTAGAACGTTCCGCCGGAGTTTAACTTTTGACAGGAGCGCTAGTGTTATAGGATGCATTCACTGAAGGTGACGGCAACTCATCAGCCATGGAACAGATAATGCCAAACAGAGAAGATGGAACGCATGCGAAATGACGCTATGTGAGTCATTTGGGCTGTACATGGTATTCACCATTGGTGTGCATGCTGCACTGCCGT